CTCAACCACCTGGAGCAGAAAAACTCTTACGTCCGTATGCTCTTTGTGGACTTCACATCCGCCTTCAACACCATGATCCCCCAAACCCTGATGGACAAACTATCCACACTAGGACTAAGCCCCTCCATCTGCAACTGGGTACTAGACTTTTTAACAAACAGACCACAGTTAGTGAGGATCCACAACCTCTCCTCCTCCACCATAACCCTCAGCACTGGCTCTCCTCAGGGATGTGTGTTGAGCCCCCTCCTGTTTACTCTGCTCACATATGATTGTGCAGCTACCCATCCAGGCTGTCACGTTGTAAAGTTTGCAGATGATACAGCGGTGGTGGGATGCATCACAAACAATGATGAGTCCAGCTACAGGCAGGAGGTGGAACACCTGGAGAGCTGGTGCAGAGAGAATAACCTTCACATCAATGTGAAGAAGACAAAGGAGATGATTGTGGACTTCAGAAGGAACAAAAACACCTACACCCCCCTGAACATAAGAGGATCTGCGGTGGAAGTGGTCTCCAGCTACAAGTACTTGGGTGTACACATGAACAACAACCTCAGCTGGAGCAACAACACCACCAGCCTGATCAAGAAAGCTCATCAGAGACTCTACTTCCTCAGGCGGCTGAGGCGAGCTGGTCTGGGAAGCTCAGTCCTCACCTCCTTCTACAGGTGTGCAGTGGAGAGCATCCTGTGCTCGAGCATCAATGTGTGGCATGGAGGCTGCACAGCTGCAGAAAGAAAAGCTTTGCAGAGAGTGGTGAAGGCTGCACAGAAATCTGTCGGAATCAGCCTCCCCACCATCACAGACATCTACACCTCCAGATGCAGGAAGAGGGCCACCTGCATCATGAAGGACCCCACCCACCCAGCACACACACTTTTTGCCCCACTCCCCTCAGGAAGGAGGTTAAGGAGCATTAAGTGTAGAACCACTAGACTGAGGAACAGCTTCTACCCTGAGGCTGTTAGACTCATGAATCTCTAACCAGAATAATCACTGTGAAAAACCATATCATGTTGCTGCTGATCTGTTTCATGTTGCTGCTGATCTGTTTCAATGTTGATGTGTTCATGCGTGCACATCTGCTCACAGACTCATGTTCATGTTTGTGCTGATGTTCAATGTTTTATGTTATGAGTGCTTAGTGTATATTTAGTTGATGTTTTTCTTAGTTCACATCTTAGATGTTATTACTGTTTTTCTTATACATTTTATTGTTGGATGTAACTGGGACCCTGCGTACATAATTTCGCTCCACCACATGTACCACATGAGGTGCGAATGACAATAAAGAAACTCTGACTCTGAGAAAAGGGTTCATGACTTGAAGTTTGTTCCTCTTTGGCGCCATCTTGTGGCTGAAAGTTTAAAGTTCATCATGAGATGAGGCGTTTCATCCTTGTTGTCCAACCAGCTGAGACTTCTGTCCAAATTCAGGCACATTGAGACGTTTTGGACGTTTTATTGTTTGTGGGTAAAATAATAAAGTTATGGTTATTTGATGAATAAATAACTTGATGAATAAACGTGTGGCCCCGTTGCTCGTAACTGTAAACAGATTTTAATTAATCTTATGTAATTCTCAGCCTGACACCAGTTCAGAATGATGCTCATCTTCATGAAATGAACCAGTTTGTTTCCTGTGAGATCAAACTTTTTATTCATATTGTTTTTTTCTTCTTTTCTTTCTGGTTTGTTATGTTTTGTGCAAACGGCACCATTAAAACCCACCGTGGATCTGTCCGGTGATCAACTCCCTCAGGTACCGAAGCCGTGACGTCAGTGCGTCAGACGTCATCGATCATGACTTCTAATGAATCGAGAGCTTCAGAAACCGTGTTGTTGTTGTTTACACCTGCCCCGGAGCTTCAGACGGCCCATCACGATCCAGAAGTATAAACTTGTGATAAATATTGGTTCATTTAAAATAGACATGAAGTGTTATCCGTTTGCTCATTAGAGGCTTTAAGGTTCAGGTCAAGATGTCAAAAGTTTCATTTAGACTCCACAGATAAAATTAATCCATCAAGTTATTTTAAAGTTTTCTGTTTGTTTAAGGATGCTGAGAGCTTTATGGAGATTGTCCCAGCACCACTTTTGGCCTCCAGGCCGAACGTTGCCCACTCGATAGCAGCAGCTCTTTAAATCCTGTGTGTTTTATTTAGTGTACCTCGCAGAAAGTTCTGTATATTGTAAAAAAAAAAAAAAAAAGGGTTGGTTTCAGTTGGAACAAGTTTTTTTAACCGTCACTGAAACACGGAGAAGCTCCTTTAAAAACACTCCCTGTGTTTTAAGGTTGAACTTGTTTGTATCAAAGATTACAGAAACTAAAACTGTGATCAGAACGGCCCACAACAGGTTTAAAACCTGAAAGGACAGAAACTCATCACAGTCTTTGATGGAGAAAATCACATTTATTGGGGATAAGTTAAATGTTTGGTTTAAGTTATATCCATCCTTATGGTTTTACCGGCTTCTTCCTGTTCAGGGTTGTGGGGAGCAGGTGCCCCCATCAGACTCTGAGGCTATCGAGTGTTGTGCATGGCCCAGATTACAGTTTTACAAGCCGTGCACACAAGAATCTCAAAAACTACATTTAAAGCACGACTTCAGGCCCTGCTGGCTGCGCACACTCAGAATTCAGCCTCTTTTCACACAGTTGAAAACTAACGTCTAAAAGTGGCACATCCAACTAACATGGAGGTTTTTAGATCGGCTGAAAAGAATCACATGACTCAGAGAAAACTTGTGCGTGCAGATGGAGAAACATGCAAAGTTTAGGCAAAAAGAACAGAGTCAGGAGTCAAACCTGCAACCTTTAAGAGGCAACAGTGCAAATTCCCATAAAGTCCATTTCTGCACACTTGTTGCAAGAAGGGAATGAACGAGTGTAAAGAGCAAAAGATTTGCAGTAAAGATGGATGGGCTGAGCGATGAGGTCAAGCAGGAGCCCCTCCAAGTGAGCAGACATCTGTAGGGACAGCAGGTGGAAGAGAGCCTGGAGAGAAGAATGAAAGTCAGCTGAAGCAGGACTGTGTGTGAATGAGAGGAGCACAGATGGAGCAGAGTCACTGAAGGAGTCCAGGAGTTTAGGCTCCTCGACCAAGCGAAGACGCAGGAAGGGTGGACTGGACAGAGACGAGTGTCAGGAGAGTGAAAGAGAAGGTTTACAAGATGAGGAGCACAGAAGATCCTGATTCATGCTCAATAATCCAGGTTGAAAAATCCAACAAAGCTGTCAAGTCCTCTGGAGGTTTATTTATTTATTTAGTTGAAACATTTCATCCAAAAGATTTCTTCAGTCTGAGGAGCCACAACAAACTCAGGCTTATAAATAGCACCTTCTCATAGTGGATCAACCAGTTTGATGGTGCTCAGATGGTTTCTGGAGAAGGTTGAAGTAGCTCAGAGAGGTATGAGGGTGCAAGAACATCGATGCACTTAAAGATCAGCAGGAGAATTTTAAAATGTATTCTGATATGAACTGGGAGCCAGTGAAGGGAGGACAGAACTGGTTAAATATGATCAAACCTACGAGTTCCTTTTAAGAGCCGAGCTGCAACTTTTTGGACGAGCTGGAGACGTGACTGACCCCAACATAGAGCGCGTTACAGTAGTCCAGCCGGGTTATAACGAATGCATGAACTGGTTTTTCAAGGTCAGATCTGGTCGACACTGACTGAATCTTAGCTAGCTGCCTTAACTGGAAGAAGCTTTTCTGTTAATCTGTTTGTTAAACTTAAAGTCAGAGTCTAAAACATCCTGAGATTTGTAACGGACTGTTTAAGAAATGGCTGCAGAGAGTCGAGGTTTACAGGATCAGAGACACCGGTAGAGCTAGGGCTGAACACAATGACTTCAGTCTTCTGGTCTTTAAAACTTAAAAAAATGAAGCCATCCATACCTTGATGTCGTCAAGACATTGTTTTAAGGGCAGATAGATCTGACAATCATCAGCATAACATTGAAATGAAAAAACCTGCAGACAAAGACCGGCCTGCACCACCGGGTTTAGATCTTGACTGCAGAGAATCGATATGATCATCCAACTCTGCCGCCATCGACACAATGATGCAAGAAGTCGTTGTGACTCTGAACGAATAAAAACGTGACCTTACACAAATCTTCATGCGACCTTTGGCTCAAACTGACAGTGGCCTGCAGCAGGTGCAGGTGCCAGGAAAGGCCAAAGGTCATCCAACGGGAGTTTAACGTATGAGCTGCCTGTTGGGTCAGCAGCCTTCTGATTGGTCCACTCCTCCTCAGGTGTTTCCGGAGCCCAAGGAGCATTTTCCAAAACTCTCCAAGCGCCTCCCCTCCATCGTGGTGGAGCCCACCGACGCAGATGACGTGGAGAGCGGAGAGCTCCGCTGGCCTCCTGATGACGTCAGCAGTGATGTCACAGAGGGACGCCCGCAGGTGACAGGTGAGGTCGTCCCATTCACACAGTAAGTTAAGATTTCACCCTGTTTCTAACAGAGCAGGTGAATTCTGCTCAGGTCAACCTGTGGAGGGGGTGGAGACACGAGAGCTGGTGATGGGCGGAGTCTAACATCTCCAGACTGACATGGCTCCATCCAGCCAATCGGTGAGAAGGTCCTCGTGAAAAGGCGTCTGTGAGCAGGTGGAGCCATCACACCTGAGAGGAGCCCAGGTGCCCCCGGCGCTGCCTGGAGCTCGTTCTTCTGCTGCTCCTGGCTTTTTGTCAAAGTGTTGAGAAAATCAGGGAACTGAACGTAAACCCAGAAGTTTTAAACGTATTAAACTTGTTTTGAACATTATTTGTATATATTTTTGAAGGCTTGAAAAACGTTCTCGAAAGAGCAATGGAATGTTTAGACGTTCTGAGTTTTATTTTGAAAGGACACAGGTGGAATAAAGCCTGAACTCTGATTTCATGAGCTCTTTGAGAGTTGTGATCATTTACATACAAAAACATTCAAACAAACGCACACGACACATTATGCGCTCGTCAACAAACGATTATCTACTGCAACCTATACAGAGCAATGGCCCGGACAAGCAAAGACCTCGTATAGACTTTGACCTTGACTTGTGACCTTGACCTTGAAGCTGGGGGATGCGTCGTTTGGTGACGAGTATGAAGTTTCATTAAATTATCTTGAACGGATCAGAAGTAACGGGCAGGAAAAGAGAAGGATGAAGGGCCGGCGGACGGAGATTATACAACCGCCGGCGGAATGATGCGGCAGAAGCTTCAAGACCAAGAAGTTTGTGGATCAGAGGAAATGATTTCCTTTCCTTCTCTTCCTGGCTGTGAACCACAGGTGTAAACGTTGAAGCAGCATAATCACCTGTTTTTCTGTCAACAACAGTTGAATAAAGTTGTTTTCTTGTGTTTTATTGCTTTTGTCAGGGAGTTTGGGCCGAGGTTTATGGATGTTTTTAACTCCTGTGGCTGAGACTGATAACTGCCCATGAACCATGGGTTTGAGTTGGCAACGAGCTGGACGAGGAGCTGATCTGATACTGGAGGCACAGCTGCAGTCCAAGGACACCAGTCAGTCTGGGAGCTGATGAGTTTATAAAAACAAGCCTCGCGCACTGTCCGTCGCAGATTCTCACGACTGGGCTGCATGTGGACACATCTGTATAACCTGCTGTGAAAATCTGCCCTTGCAAGTACAACCAGTTAAGAAGTGTCTTTCAGTACCAGTAAGATGAATGGAAGATTTTTTTATCCAACATTTTGGTCCTTCGGGGGCGGCTCCAACATCATAATTACAAATACAAACATGAAGAGTAGAGCAAGTAAAGACAGCAGCAGAGGGAGGACATGTGGTCAACTTGTCCTCCAGCAGTCTAAGCCTATAGCAGCATAAACTAAGGGACAGCTCAGGAAACCCAAGCCGACCCTAACTATAGGATTTATCAAAAAGGAAAGTCTTAAACTGGACAATGTGTCAGCCTCATGGACAGAAACTGGAAGTTGGTTCCACAAGAGAGGAGCCTGAGAACTGAAAGATCTTCCTCCCATTCTGCTTTTGGAAACTCTAGGAACCACAAGTAAACCTGCAGTCTGAGAGTGAAGTGCTCTGTTAGGAAAATATGGAACAATAAGATCTGTAATATAAGATGGAGCTAGGTTGTTGAGAGCTTTGTAGGTTAGAAGTAAGATTTTGAATTCTATTCTGGATTTGACAGGGAGCCAATGGAGAGAAGCTAAAACTGGAGAGATATGATCTCTCCCAGTAACTCCAGTTAAGACTCTGGCAGCAGCATTTTGGATCGACTGAAGACGTTTTAAAGAAGTATTTGGACACCCAGATAATAAACCATTGTAACAGTCCAGTCTAGACGTGATGAATGGACACTGATATCTCTTCAAATGTCTTCTTTAAAATTCGTTTCAACAAACTGGATCTATTTTGTCGTCTTGTGCTGTTTGAGCCTTTTTCTTACTGTAGTTTGAGCACTTTTAGCTACTGCTTTGCCTATTTTTGTATCTATTTAGCTAACTTTAGCATAAGAATGTTTTGCAAATTTTAGCTTTTTTGGCCAATTTTAGCTAAACTGTATTGTTTTTTCATCCGTTTTTCTTCAAGCTACTTTTGTGCTAACTCTAGCTGCTTTGATATTTGTAGCATGTTAGCAACTTTTAACTACTGTACATATTTTTGCTACTGCTTTAGCTGCTATTCTGCTCATTTTAGCCTGAGTAAAATCATTCAGCAGTCACAGTTTCACAGAAACTTTACTTCCTGTTTGGTTGTGCACCTTTCGTCACTGCTAACCTTTTTGCCGTGCATGTCGTTCCCTCTGATCTTGAACACACCCAGCTGTGATTATTTTTAATTAAATCAATGCTTTACAAATATAAAACCTGCATAAAATCATCAGTGACGTTCACCAAGAGTGCATGAAATCAGTTTATTACAAATGATTTGGTGATACAAAGAAATTCAGTCGATGAACAAATCAGAGTTCAGAAATGTGCAAACCACTGGACATGAATAAATAACAGATCAGGCCGCCTGCAGGACCGTCATCTAATAAACTGCGTAAAAAAACAGAAGACAGACACGTTCGCTTTAGTCTACTCAGCTCATTTGTTCGCAGGTGCACGCTTTGTAACGAAACACAGAATGCACGTGGCCCAAATGGTCAGGTACCTGTTTGCAGCAGCGGTTACATCATCACAGCAAAGCCAGTCCGGTCTGGACAGGTGACAAAATAATACATTCTCAACGGCTGCAGGAAATCAAACGAGCTGCAAACTGAGAAACGCACGCCGCACCCATATGCACAAGGTGTTTGTCAAACGAAAAAAGTGCACATTTGGTGATCTAACTTCAAAGTCTCACCTGCCTCAAGCTACAGGAAACATGCACTTTACAAAATAAAGGTCTAATATTTGATTTTCCAGCGATATATATTGTTTCCAGCAGTTCATTTGTATTTTTTTAAAGATACTGTGATTTCTGTTAGCCTAGCTCGACACTACATCACGTGATTTTTACTGAAGACAATAAAAGTCTACAACAAGAGGAAGAAGTTGTGGTTTCAGCAGCAAACGCAGCAACATGAGAGCTGTGTTTCTGTTCTGGGGTTTGGTTTCATGTTGCTCATAAAATCAGAAACACGACATTTTTACAAACTGTTGGCAACATTTTGGCAAACACTGGCACAGTACGTGTCCACTGATCCTCTTTTTAGCCCAAAGATGATGCATTTAAACGACTCCTGTGCTGATAACAAAATTAAATATGATTTGATGAATATGAATGGAGTGAAACTTGTTTTCAGTCTTGATGCTAAGCTAGGCTAAGTTAGGCCTCTCTGAGCATCTTTCTGAACGTCTCTCTCCAAAGAGAAGTCTTTAACACAAAAAACACAAACTTCAGCTCAACACACAGAAACTACAGCAGCAGCAGAAACACACACACATCCTACATGTTCCTCCATGTTCCTCCATGTTCCTCCATGTTCCTCCATGTTCCTCCATGTTCCTACATGTTCCTCCATGTTCCTCCATGTTCCTACATGTTCCTACATGTTCCTCCATGTTC